CATCAGGATTGACCCACATGATGCGCCACGTCTACCATCAGGATTGACCCACATGATGCGCCACGTCTACCATTAGGATTGACCAACATGATGCGCCACGTCTAATATCAGGATTGATCCACATGATGCGCCACGTCTAACATCAGGATTGACCCACATGATGCGCCACGTCTAACATCAGGATTGACCCACATGATGCGCCACGTCTACCATTAGGATTGATTATCATGATGCGCCACGTCTAACATCAGAATTGACCCCACATGATGCGCCACGTCTCAGGATTGAGTCCTTGTTTGCGTGTCGAAAGAATCTGTTCAGTTAATACTAACAGCGGAATTTATTTAATATTATTTGCTGTTAGACTAACACCTGTTGTCCGAGTTTAACCAGTAACGCCCCTGTTTTGATACACAACGCAAACATGAGCACGCGTATCATTAATGTTATGCCAATAGTGAACCATGAAATTAGTGCCAACACGTTTTTACCTCACTTAACTGCGAGTTCCCTCAAACAGTGTTGGCCAGTATGTGTGGCGTGCTCCCATGTAGATACATCGCCAACAAACATATCGCACATCCACATTGCTTAAATATTAAATCCGATTTATTGCCAGCCATGGTTACGGGCATTGATTAGATTAATTACTGCCCGTTGTCAGGTGTACATTTCTAAATGTGTTCATGAATGTTGTGATGTGCCTTGGACTCACCAAACATCACTTTCTATTAATTACGAAATATGATAGACCAATAACGTGATTTTATTGATGCGACTCCCTCCGCCCTCGACAGAGTATGCGCCCATTAAGTAATAGAACTAAAGATCGTTGGAAGCCGCTCGATACAGTCTACAGTAGTCCGATCCGTCAGGTCGGTTACCTGTCATGCTCGGAAAGCAATGGTGTGGTGTGTGTTCTAACATAAAAATATAAACATGCAACTACCGGAAGAGTCTGAGTGGGTGAGTTGGGCTTATCGCCGCTTTTAACATTATTACAGTTATATCACGGCGTGTAAGCTTAATGTGGGAGGAAAGCCCGAAGTGATCGTGGGTTCGAATCCCAGTTCGCCCCGATTATGTTTCTAGGTTTGTCAGCACCATACCCGTGTTCGTGGGTTTCACCAAAATGTTAAACGTCCGAGACATGCATCACTTTGGGCTCTCCTCCCGCATTAAGCACACCGTGGTAAAACTGGAATGCTGTTCAAACGAGGTTAATGTCAACCCAACTTACTCACATACATACATTTTGGGAAATGGGGTGTCCTGATTAACGAGGGTTCACTGTAAGTGTTTCCTTACCGTTGGTCAAAAGACAATCTGAGTCGTAAATTCACGTTTCGAAAAAATCCATTTGTGAATGAACACTTCTTTCGGTTGACTCAGCTTGACCTGGAATTCCTGGGCTTCGGTCCTGCCCAACACTGAAGTACATGTTACATGTGGTTACATGCCTCTGTTGATTCGGCAGTGAATGGGTACCCGATAGGATGAGATGGTAATGTGATTGTTAACCTTCCAGCGCTTAACAGACAAGCTGTGCTGTATACTCCCACGGTAGCTGAGAATAAAATTCGGACTAATGCCGATTTTATAGTGCAAGCCCACTGAGATACCATGCCGCATTTTAACATGAATACCAATCCGACCAGTCCTTGTTTTAGCTCCTTAATGCTGAGCACCAAGCATGGTAACTAACAACAAGTACCATCTTTTAACGTCTTTTGGTATGATGCGGTCGGGGATCGAACCCCGACCTTCGGTTCTCGGGCCGGACGCTCTACCACTAGACCACCGAGGTGCCCATCTAAGTCGGGTGGTTCTGATTAACGAATTACTATCAATAGAGTATTGATATTTGAATACATACATGCAGACGCTTCTAACAGTGGTCGCTCCAACGGTGTCCGGGCTACCGAGGTTAAACTATATAATGTTCCATTTGGTAACGTCTACATTTGCAATCATAATATATCATATACTGTATACGTCCACAGCTATGTCACAGCTTCGTGGATATATCAACGCATGTTTAAACACACCCGCCTCAATACAAACCACAAAATTGGAACAGTACATCCACTTCCCTTTATCAATTCAATATGACCATCTGATTAATAAGACATATGCTTTGATTCGTCACGCAATTATCCAATATGTCAGGCACGATATGAACTCTTTATGCAAATAACGGTTCGCCACTCATCAGTCAGTTTAATTAGAAGATGGGATGGACACATTCTTAAAGTGATGCATTTGCCGTCAGCTTCGTAAAGTGTTTGGTTTTTGCGTTCGCTCTCCAGAAAATGCGGCTCAAGTACACATGCACTGTATTCCGCGAGATCAGCTGATATACTCGACTGTGCAACACACACGTCAGGGGGTACGCTCAACGAACGGGGATATGCTACCAGTTGGATGAAAGCAGTGAATTTACCTTGAATCAATATTTGTTAAGTGTGTTGACTACCTTTCACGTAACGGAGAATAAAACTACTTAAAGTGGCATCGTGTCACGTGCCGTCAGGATCCAGTCCAGTCTCACAAAACGATATAAATCCTAGGTCAGATTCATAATCAGCCGGTGGACAGGCGAAAATATTCCAATAAACAAAAACATCAGCCTCGGGCCTACTGACCGCTTGTTTTACGTTGTCATAACCCAGGCAGGGTCATGGCCAACAATGATGGAGACGAACCCGACCTTTGTGTTACAAGTGACCACACTACTTATACGGCAAGCCATAGCCTGGTAATGCTATACATCTATTTCTACAATCTTGGACAAAGCTGCAATAAATTTCTCATGACATTCATACGCCAGTCTAAAGCGAATTAAATATTGATACCGAATGCATTGACACACGCGTCATCCGATACAAAGAAATGACTGTCATATATTGTCAGAATCGACTGTCATATATTGTCAAAATATAGGCACCGTAAGATTTATGAGACATAATATGGCAAACTATAGTTTAATCAATATCAGCATTAAATTTTTCGATATCGTTTGCACTTTTTTCAGAGCTAGACTCGACGAGCTGTGTTGACTGAGATAGGGTGCCTGTCATTCCCCTTTGCATATGGATTTCAACGAGTTGCGCCGTAATTCTCTCTGTTCTGTAAGCCGCTATATTAAGCCACCATGGCAAGTCCCTTGAACACCCAAAGGAATGCAAGTTTTTCTTTCACACTTCAGTGGTCACTGGCTGGGATTACTGCACTGAATGGCGTCCGCGCGCCCAGACAAATCAACATACCTGTCCTAACGTACGAAAGTCATCGTTGCTATGAAAGTGCAGCGTGATACATATATGATTCGTGTCTAATTTTCAAAGAAATTAACAAATATGGCATTTTGTTACCTGGGTAAGGCTGAAATCCGTCTCACTGTAGCGAACACATCACTTCAATGACACACCTGTTCAGGTAGATTCACGTTTATGTATATCCGACCAGGAGGTTAGGTGGCTGTGAAGTCGCTTCGTTCAAATAAACCTGACTTACATCTCTCGAATCTGGAGAAACGCTACACACAACCATGAATACACCTGTCTTCTTGCTGCTTGTATATTTCAACGCATGGGCAGTTCGCACATGCGCAGTGACGCGCACCTGTCGGAACGTGTGTTGTGAGTCCGTTCGTTCTCTAGGCGAGGCAAACGAGAGTTATTTATAGTTCATTATAATGAAACCGCGAATTCGCCTGGTCTTCTAATCGGCGTGAGACACAAGCAGGCAGCTCCAACTACTGACGAAGGCTGACGTCTGCTGAGACTTGTGAGAGGGGGGGTGGGGGGGTGGGGAGGGCATGTGACAGTGTGGGAATGTCAGAGGACGACCAGATTGAACCAAGGTCACGTTGAGGTTCGGGGCTGGGTGTGGGACTGCCCCGATCCGCTTGGTGGAAACATTTACTGTGTAGGTGAAGCCGGGCTCAGACCATGGATGGTGAGGTGATATAGGGTCCATAACGCCGCGTTCAACACGATTGCACTCATAGTGCGTGCGTGCGTGCGTGCGTGCGTGCGTGTGTGTTTCTGCTTGTGATCGTCCAGACTAATACCGAAGTTATAATGCTAGCCCACTAAGATACCATGCTGCAGTTTAATATGAATACCCCACCCAGTCCCAGTATATCAGCCCCTTTATGCCGAGCTCCAGGCAGGGTAACACCAATTACCATCTTTGAACGTCTTTTGGTATGATGCGGCCGGGGATCGAACCCCACTAGACGCTCCACTAGACCACGGTAGCATGGATGGAGTGAGTGAGTGAGTGAGTATTGCCTTTAGCATGTTCCAGCAATATCATGGCGGGGGACACCAGAAATGGGCTTCACACATTGTACTCATGTCGGGAATCGAACCCGGGTCTTCGGCGTGACGAGCCCACGCTTCAACCACAAGGCTACCCGACCGCCCCTGCATGGATGGACATAAGAGTGGTATGAAATTAGTTTTTGACAACTGGATACGGATGGCTAAGCGTGGGAACTGATTGATGAAAGAGGCTGGAAGACTGAACGGGTCTGATCATACGTTACTAGTAAGTGATTGAGTATGGTTTTACGCCGCTTTTAGCAATATTCCGACAATATCACGACGGGGGACACCAGAAATGGGCTACACACATTGAACCCATGTCGGGAATCGAACCCGGGTCTTCGGCGTGACGAGCGAACGCTTTAACCACTAGGCTACCCGACCACCCCTCATACGTTACTAATGACTTTTGACAATTGCATGTACACATGTCAGGTCATTTTCAATGCACAATAACACGCACACTGCAATACGTTATTTTGGAAAACCATATCCCATCCCACCTTGATATCTCCTTGTTGTAATGTTGGTGTCGGGCACGGCGGAGTGAGGGTACCACTGTGGGAGATGACTTTAAATAGAAGGATCTGAGACAATTGGCACGGGGTGACGTCAACACACTTCCGGGTTGTGCGACAGTGATTAGCGCACAGTGCGAAACTTTGGCTATGAACGAACAGTCGGCGCAAAGTCACTGACGGAAAACGCTTCGACTTTGGAACGCTTGTGGCGTGGAGCCTGTATTGGTCTGGGGAGGTGGTATTGGTCTGTGGAGGTGGTATTGGTCTGTGGGGATTGTATTGATCTGTGGAGGTGGTATTGGTCTGTGGGGGTGGTATTGGTCTGTAGGGGTGGTATTGGTCTGTGGGGGTGGTATTGGTTTGTGGAGGTGGTATTGGTCTGTGGGGGTGGTATTGGTCTGTGGAGGTGGTATTGGTCTGTGGGGATGGTATTGGTTTGCTGGGGTGGTATTGGTCTGTGGGGGTGGTATTGGTCTGTGGGGGTGGTATTGGTCTGTGGAGGTGGTATTGGTCTGTGGGGGTGGTATTGATCTGTGGGGGTGGTATTGGTTTGTGGGGGTGGTATTGGTCTGTGGGGGTGGTATTGGTCTGTGGAGGTGGTATTGGTCTGTGGGGGTGGTATTGGTCTGTGGAGGTGGTATTGGTCTGTGGAGGTGGTATTGGTTTGTGGGGGTGGTATTGGTCTGTGGGGGTGGTATTGGTCTGTGGAGGTGGTATTGGTCTGTGGGGGTGGTATTGGTCTGTGGAGGTGGTATTGGTCTGTGGGGGTGGTATTGGTCTGTGGAGGTGGTATTGGTCTGTGGAGGTGGTATTGGTCTGTGGGGGTGGTATTGGTCTGTGGAGGTGGTATTGGTCTGTAGAGGTGGTATTGGTCTGTGGGGGTGGTATTGGTCTGTGGAGGTGGTATTGGTCTGTTGAGGTGGTATTGGTCTGTTGAGGTGGTATTGGTCTGTGGATGTGGTATTGGTCTGTGGAGGTGGAGCTGGTATTGGTCTGTGGAGGTGGTATTGGTCTGTAGAGGTTGTATTGGTCTGTTGAGGTGGTATTGGTCTATGGATGTGGTATTGGTCTGTGGAGGTGGAGCTGGTATTGGTCTGTGGAGGTGGTATTGGTCTGTGGATGTGGTATTGGTCTGTGGAGGTGGTATTGGTCTGTGGGGGTGGTATTGGTCTGTGGAGGTTGTATTGGTCTGTTGAGCTGGTATTGGTCTTTTGAGTTGGTATTGGTCTGTGGAGGTCGTATTGGTCTGTGGAGTTGGTATTGGTCTGTGGATGTTGTAATGGTCTGTGGATTTGGTATTGGTCTGTGGAGGTGGTATTGGTCTGTGGGGGTGGTATTGGTCTGTGGGGTGGTATTGGTCTGTTGAGCTGGTATTGGTCTGTGTAGGTGGTACGGATACATTGGGTAGGGGATGTTGCTGCTGGTGATTTGCGGGTGGTGGGATGGAGACTGGTGATATTGCCGGTGATATACGAGCATATTTAAAATTCTTTATATACATTATATACATAATATTTTAAAGCTTTTCAGGATTAAGTGAATTTATGCAAATCTTTAATACTTAATTTCACATCATACGGTAATGTGTCGTCAAAGCTGAAGTCGATAATTAGACGTCCCTAAATCAAACGATGCTGGCGACACATGTTTTCCGACAAAATGGTGGTTAAAGATAATGTATAATTGACAAACATCTCTCCATTCCTGAAAAATAATGGAGCGTTTTAACAATAGAATGACGTCACAGATGTATAAGATTCTTTCGCATAACGAGTGTGTGAGTGAGTATGGTTTTACGCCGTTTTTAGCAGTATTCCTGCAATATCGCGGCGGGGGACACCTGAAATGGGCTTCACACATTGTACCCATGTCGGGAATCGAACCCGGGTCTTCGGCGTGACGAGCGAACGCTTTAACCACTAGGCTACCCGACCGCCCCTCTCATACCGAACTTTCACAGACACCACAATATGCATGCGTTCTGATCTGTTTTAAAGTTTCGATACATGTCACCGTTTGTCACTGTTTTAATTTGACAATAAACACGTTTCCAAAATCAAATAAACTCTGTCCGTCCCGCCCCTTCTTGACAACAGGAGAATACACGTAGAACCTACCTGATCTGAACACATACCATGAACGAGAAATTGGAGCGATCCACAAATGACCGACTTACGTGACCACGTGGCCTGCATGGTCAGTTAATGTTTAATGAGAATCAGAATGATGTCTGGCCGTTACTTGGTCACGTGGCACGTCACGCACAACACGTGAAGATGCGTGTCTGCAAATTATTTGACACACCTAGGGAAATTAATTCCAGCTCACGTGTATGCATGTATATTCAGACGATTACATCAGCTAATACGACAGGGAGGCTACTGGTGGGGGTAATACGCTATGTAGTCACGTACACGACTTGCGTCGTCACATACATTAGCTCGAGTGAGTAAATGTTTCACTCCACCGTCAGCAATAGTCAGAAAAGTCGCGCCAGCCTATAAACAATCTAGTCTGGGCCAGGCAAACCAGTGGTCGATAGCACGAACAACAATCCACGCTATCTAGTACGCTGACCCAATCTGCCAGGTCACACATAACTGTGCAGCCAATCAAATTGACAGGCCGCGACATAAATGTTTTCAACGTGACAACAAAACTCCCAAACCCCATAAAGCCGCCCCCTCCTCCCCACACCCCTACATTTCACTCCCCCACTTCACAAAACTAGAGAGACCCGTGAAGATTCCGGGGTAGAATAGGTCGTAAAAATGCTTGTCGTAAAAGGCGACTAACGGGATCGGGTGGTCAGGCTCGCTGACTTGGTTGATGCATGTCATCGATCCCAATTGCGTGGATCGATGCTCATGATATCAATCACTGGATTGTCTTGTCCAGACTCGATTATTTACAGACCGCCGTCATATAGCTGGAATATTGCTGAGTGCAGCGTTAAACAACAAACAAACAAACAAAACAAAACTAGAGCCAACATTTATACATAATCTTAATGCTGTTTAGCGTATCTCATCTGATGTCAACCTCGATAATCCAGTGTTATATCTCATATTTCACTTGTCAGTAGTGAGTGAGTGAGTTCAACGCCGCTTTGAACAGTATTCTTGTCATATCACGGCGTAGAAGGAAAGCCCGAAGTGATGCAGGTCTCAGACGCTGGTGAAACCCAAGAGCACGGGTGTGGTGCTGGCAAACCTGGAAACCGGGGTTCGAACCACTGCCACAGCGAATTGCGTCGCTTTGACGGCTGGGTCACACGTACCCCATTGTCATAGTAGATGCCACGGCTACTAGATGGTTCTAAGAGAAAATATCGGTTCTGAAAGGAATTACCGATATGGTGAGATTAATTAGCTGAATCATTTGAACCTCCCTTCAACTTCCAGATTCAAGTGGACGATGTCACGCGATTCAAGGGTCAAAATTAATGACAAGTAAACAAAACATTGAAATTTAACCTATGCCATGTACATCCTACATATCAAGTTTCACATTGATTGCTGCGCTAATGTGCGGCTAATGGATCGAAACGGCATTTGACTAAACACCAGCCATGGTGTCCATGTAAACAATCCGATACTAGTTTTATGAACATGTTATGAACATGCCATTGCTGATTTTCTGAGAATATGTCCTGCTGTCAACAAAAGTAGCTCCGTCAGCTGTATTCGTCTCTGTATTAATATGCACCATGACAAATATACTCAAAGAAAGCGCCGTAATAAAAGTTGCGAGGAGAAATGGGCTTTAAGGCCCGCGCTCAAGATCGTTGGACATTCTGTATGTGTGTGTGTGTGTGTGTGTGAGAGAGAGAGAGAGAGAGAGAGAGAGAGAGAGAGAGAGAGAGAGAGAGAGATACTGTGGTGTGTTGTTTGTGTGTGGTGTGTGTGTGTGAAGGGTGTGTGTGCGGTGTTTGTGTGTGTGGTGTTTGTGTGTGGTGTATGAAGGGTGTGTGTGTGGTGTTTGAGCGTTCCTGCAGTATTTTTGGTGTGGGTAAAGGGCATGTGTGTGTGTGACTGTGGTGTGTTGTTTGTGTGGGGTGTGTGTGCGGTGTTTGTGTGGTGTTTCAGTGTGAGTGTGTGTGTGAAGGGTGTTTGTGTGGTGTTTCTGTGTCTGTGGTGTTTGAGTGTGTGTGTGTGTGGTGTGTGTTTGTGTCTGTAGTGCTTGTGTGTGTGTTTGAGCGTTCGTGCGGTGTTTGTGTGGTGTGTGTAAAGGGGGCGTGTGTGGGGGGTGTTTGTGCGCGCGCGTGCGTGCGTGTGGTGTTTGTGTGTATGCTGTTTGAGTGTGTGGTGTTTGAGTGTGTGTTAGTGTGTGTGGTGTTTGAATGTGTGCTTGTGTGTGTTTGTGGGCACGAGTGTCGACCAGTCCTCGTTTTATCCTCGAGGTTCAAAGCCGCCTTAAGCACAATTCCAGTAATAGCACGACGGGTTCACCTGAAGGTTAACCAGGTACTACACAGACTCGCTGACTTGGTTGATACATGTCATCGTTATTAGATCCTCATGATGTCAATTGATTATTTAGCTGGAATATCGTAGAGTGCGGCGTAAAATGAACAACAAGAGCTAGACAATACTGAAATGTGTTCCCTTACATTTTACTGTCAGTATACATAACTCAGAGTTTTAATTGACTTCAAACAGCGCCGAAGGCGTCTTTTTCCGCCAACGGCTGAACAAACAACTGTCACTTGCTCTGCCTTTTTTATATTTGGAAATCATTACAGGCCTATCAATCCTACTGACTCAGCAGGGCGCGGCGGAGGGGACGTTTCTACAAATTGTTCTTTGTCTGCTAATACTGAAGCGTAGATGTGACGACTGAACAGTCTTGCTGTCTCCACCACATCTTTGGAAATAATTTCACATGTGTGTAATCGATCCAAACACGCGTAACAAATTGAAGAGTTAAACAAATATATCAGTTTTATTCCTCTCCAAGTTGATGGTAGTGATTTCACCTAAATCATCGTCGTTCTGTCGACGAAATATTTAAAATGCATGATTAGGGCATCTCTTTACTCCATGCCTGCCCGGATCAAGGATACAATTCTATGATGCATCTTTGATGTTTTCTACAGAGGCAACATCACTCGGAATGTCGGACTGTTTCTATGGCAGCGATTTTAATATCACACATGGACAATTTGAACTGAAATAAAATCCATGTATCATGAATACGATTTGTTTTTGTATAGGAATTTATTCAATAATTTTTTCATGGTTTCGTTTCAAACTTGACAGAAAGGGATATTAATTATTTACATGCGTAACTCGAGGACTGGTTCTACGCATGACAATCTCCGTAAACAAAGTGTCAGTTGTGACGTGTAATACACTGTAAGCATTTTAATAATATGATTAATGTAAATGATGCTTTATAACCACATATCTACACTTCATAGTCCGTCCCAAATTGTCTTTGGGGCAGGATATGTTAACCCTTTTCGCGAACAACTGGTGTCATCACAAATTTATCATCCAAAACTGCTTCCCACAGGTTGAGATCAAACGATATCATTGGTTACCATGACGTCACAATCAAATGACATCCCTAATGGCTCTGCTACAGAAGCTGTTAGCAGTACTTTTTACACTTATCACTGCTTATTACTGTCTACAAACTGAAAACAATTTGAAGAATGATGTTGGGTGATAAACAAAATCTCACCCTCGTATCTTTTGATTTCAAATATATCAACACGAGTTGATAAAAGTGGAAAAAAAAGGTTTTCCACTTTTATCAACTCTGGTTGATATATTTGATATCAAAAGACACTCGGGTGAGATTCTCTATTTCTATTAATAGATGTTCCACCACTAATTACCTTTACGCCCAATCAGTGTCTGAAACCCAGCAGAGTAAACTGAGAGCCTCAATACGGTCTAGCACATTTAAAATACTGTTGTCCCAGTGGAAAAAAAACCTGTAGGCCCAAACATTTTAGCTGAAGCAGGGCGACATACTCTTGCAATATAAAATACAATACAAAACCACTCAACCAGAAGTTTTTACTGTTATTACACCGAGTTCCCAGAGACTCTGTGGTGACAGTAGACTAACATCTAGTCTCTGAAATGAACATATCGTACAGAAAAAACCAGTTGTTCAGTTATCTGAATAAAAATATAGTAAAAAGGGCCCAGCGACTCTCTTCATTTTCAGACCTGATACTGCAGTTATCTAGACTTGCCAAACATAATAGACTTGCATGGGCTGTAATTGATATATTTGTATCAGGGTCTGTAAGACAGACTATAGTGACAGATGAAGACTACATTTATCAAGTAATTTATCAGTTTGTAAAACATCTTTGGTACAACATGTCATACGCCATTTGAAAGGTCTAATCCTAGTGTTATGAATATGAAGTTGCTTATCACATTACTTACATAATGCTTAATACCACGGACTTGGTTATATAGGTCCATGTTAATACATAATTACTAAATACACTGCAGGCCGTAAGGGCTTGCTGAAATC